GGCAACACCCAAAACGACAAGTTTTCTGGACCGGATGATCGTTCCTGTCGCTAAAAAATCATGTGTACAAAATGACACATCAAAGCAACTGGAAGCCTGACCTTTCACATTAGTTCAAATCGAATCCTCTTACTTCGAACAGGATCGAAAATGCAGAGCAGGAACGCGGTCTTACATTAGTTTTACAGTGAAGTAGAATGCATAGAACGCAAATTTTCATGGACAACATATTTCCTTTGACGGCGTAAACCTTTGTCTGAATACACAAACCCTCAACGCCAAATATACGGCGGGCTCTAGCCGGAAAGCTTTTCTGCATCCAGCTGGGCATCGGGATGCAGAAAAGCCTTCTCTGTAGAGCTCGTCGTATATGTGGCGAATTTAGGATTTGTATACTCAAATAAGGGATTGTGCCGTTATGAGAATATGTTGTCTGTGAAATTTTGCTACCATTGCATTCTATTTCACCGTAAAGTTACCCAAGTCGAGTTCCCATGATGGTTTTCGTTCCCATCGTATATAAAAGACCAATTGTCGTAGGCAATCACGAATTCCCCCCTCATAATTAAATCTTTTTGGTGGATTATTCAGAAGGTTCTCGTCTTCAAATATTGCTGGGTCAATATTTTGCAGAAGAGGTATGAGCATAAGGCTCTCTTTATAAACAGGAAACTTCCCCATTCTGAAAAGTCATCGAAAGATAAATATTGCGTAGTGAATAGTATAGTGATGATTGAATGCACTCATGTATAGAAAGGAGCAGTTTTAGGTAGTTTACATTGAAAAAAAGCACTGGAACATTATTAGTCTCACCCACCTCGTAACCCCAAATGCGATTTGTAGATAAGGCAAGACCCCATTTGAGGTTGGGAGGTGGGTGGGATTAATAATGAATGAGTCACCCATTCATGTCGCCGATGAGCGTCGGTTCACCTTTTGGCCTTTCTTTTGAATGCATTCTGGTTCTTCTAACATCTGGTGTTGCCTCAGTCAAGTCTTACTTTGTTACTGCGAGTATTCCCCACTGAGCCTAATTGGTGATATCTTGAACTCAGTTGTCACAGGCACCAAAAAAATGCCACCGCTACCATTTATATTCTCTGTGAACACTTTGATATTCGGTCTTTCTTTCCGGATTCGATTGTCTGGAATGGGAGACACGAAGTGCGCTCTTCTGTTATTGCTTCGACAAAAAAGAAATCACTGCTGTGGATCCAACTACTGATTATTATTCCATGCCTATGCCTTTATGCCCATTCAACATATCATATTTCCATCAAATCCCATCCTCAAATTTCATGAATACTGTGTGCAAATTGCATACAAATAGTCGCTAACCGGCTTTTATTGGTTTCTCTATAATTGAGACGGCATCAGCTGTTTGTGCTAGGCTCCTCTCAGGTTCTCAAAAAAACTGAAATACGACATCAGAGTGGTTAAGGAGGATTGGAATTAGCTTGAAGAGAACATGGCTGAATCTGGTCCAAGACTCCATACCATTACGGTAGTGGTAATCTCACATGACCCCTGTTTCCACTACTTTCTAGGAGCATTGTAGTTCGCGAATCCTGCGGATTTCCTTGCTTCTTCGCCATCGTTGCCAAATTTTCACTGACACGTCATCTTTTCAAGCTGAAAAGGCTAGCTTGAAATTATCGTGAATTGTGCATTTGAGAGATCGTCCAAGATTATCCGAAAAGAGTTGCTTTAAATGCTTTTGATCTGAAGTTCTCTGCAGTGATGTCTGAAAATGACTTGGGTTTAGAAATACTAAACTATGCAGCTCCATCGAAAGGGTTTTCCTCAAGTTCTAATGGTGCATATCATGTGAGTACTTGTACAGCACCACTTTTTGCAAATTTCGAATCGCAAGAGGGGACTAGCTGGTCCAGTTCCATAGTAGTGTAAGCAGGGCTCGCAGAATAGGATTTTGGAATGTTCTTCCCCCTGCTTTCATGATTTTTTGAAGCTTGTTTTCGAGAACTTATCAGCGTGTCCCTGAAACTGAAGTATTTCAACTCGTTGTTAACCGATGCTTTGACTTGAAACAATGATCGTTCAACTTACAAAAGTTCTGATTAGTACAGTCGTAGAATTCCTGAAGATTGATGGCGTGTTACAGATGTTTGGCTCGGTGGAGATATCTCAAATATTGATCTGAAGTGCGATTTTTTTCAAAATTGATTGATGTCTCCATAATTGAAAATTGGTTACAATTTTGTGAACACCGGCGGTGCTGAAATCTTAATCGTCCACTATTTGTTTTCTGTAATCGATGTAAGGTAGTCAACCTAACTAAAACGTTGATCACGGTCATTGTTTGCGTTTGCTTTCGGTTGATGGATCGGTTGAATAGCATTGGTGGATGCCTCCCTTCGAGTGACGTAGTTTGTCGCTGACGTTCGATTTCTCGCGTTGATAAATGATGCTTCCCTGTTGTTCAACAGACGTCGGGAAGAATTGGTTTTGTTATGGATGGAATTTGAATTTATCGAAGACAGCACTTATCTGCTCAGAGCCAATTGAGCGTAAACTAACTGACTATTCAAAGCGACAATGAGAAAGGCCAAATTCGAGTGAAAGATAAGCGTTCCCATTTGAAAATCAAATGTATCCATTGCAGGACTTATGCAGGGTTTGGGTCAACAGACATGCTTGCAATTTGCGTTTCTAATGCCGATTTTCAAGGAACTGAAAAAGAGCTGATGCGCGTGGGAAATGAAGTTGATACAACACGTCCCCTCAGGATGGCAAACAGGATTGCTTGCCGTCACGGACAGGTTCCCTCACCATCTTGCTAGAATGTAACGTGGAATCAGGTCTTGCAGGAAGTAAATAGTCTAGAGCGACTTGGAACTCAGTTCACGACGATTGATCCTGTTCCTCACAGTCTCAACGTATCCCAAAGTTAATGGGGTAGCCTTGAGCTGCATTGCGGGTAATCTTGACAGCAAGTCTGGATAACTCATCCAGCTTAAACATTTCTGTTGTCGTCATCAGTTTTTCATGTATTCTGGATTGTGAAGTGGAAGAATGACGAAAGTGTAAGGCGGCGCACTCGGATCCTACTTTTCGAACACGCAACGGGCTTGTAGCAGCTGTCGTTACGTCGATGTATAAAGTGATGGTGGGATTAAGAGGCTGGAGTGACGACGCTATTCCACCCTCTAACACAGGCATTACTTCCTAATTCACCAAGAAATTGGCAACACTCAAAAGCGCGTATAGCAGAACTGAGTGGAAGTTGGTTGTGTTTTTTTTCCAAAGTTTCCATTCTAAACGGCTCTTTATTCTTTTGTGATCACTGTCTTCAGTCACATTCAAAATAGGCAATGTTTGTTTGATGTTTCTGCTTCGTTTGTTTCCTGATCTTTCAGTTAGTATGAGAGACAGTCGGTGATTTTTGCTTATATTTTTTTCAAAAGTCAGTGATACGTCGTTCCTTATCGTTGTCTGTTTACACGGTGTCCCATGACGCCCCAAAAACGGGCATTTTCATTGAAGACAAATATCGGGCAATGTAAAGGAAATACGGGGATAGGGATGCGAAGAAGAATCTGCGATTGCGCAGTCCTTGCAGTTAGAAGTTTGAACTCATTACTTTGTTCTGACACATGGCTTTGATGTAATACCGTTATTATTTGTTGCTAGAAGTTCAGAAGCGAACAACTGCGGAATTGCGATTGCTTGAGAAATTAGGTCACAAGTCATATAAAATGGTTCATCTGATCGTATGCTATGGATTACTCCTGTAGCTTCTTTCCGTCACACTCTTCCCCTCCTTCCCATGTCTGGGTTTGCACTTTTGATTAATTCCAAGTACCTTACTTCTTATGGATGGGCTTGTGTGATAATTCTCATGAAGAGTTAGGAGGCAATATGGGCATGTATGATTCAGCTGTTTTTTGGATCATTTACGGCTAAGTGTTCACGGTTTGTAGTGTGGTACGACAGGTGACAAATCGTATCAGGTAACTAAAAGACGTGGGCATCATTGCTCACGTCTTTCACGATCGCTCTCTGGTTTCGCTGCCTCTAGATTGTCGTTCCATCGCTTTACTTTGAGGATAGCTTCCGGGTAAGAGGATGGCAACTTATTTGTAATTTCGAAACAGATTAAGAGATCGGGATTTACTACTAGAATAAATGGAAGCGCAGTTATGACTATCGGACTACTATACTACTTGCAAGTTCCTTTGCAGTCAAGACATCTCATCATTGTCAGCCCTTTCTGCTCCTTGCGAGCCAAAGGAACAGCCATGCGCACCATTGACTCCTCGATGTCTTTCTCAGAAACCTGCTCGAACTTCCAGCCGAACTAGTGGCGTAGGACAGTTGCTAAACTCTTTTGATAATGAGTTTTCCCGCGATAGCAATATTGACCCTTTCCCACATTCAGAATTCGGTAGATTATTTTTTTAATTGACAAAAGAAGACAAAAAAGAAATGCATGGCACCGTGTGTCTACAAGTACGTGTGGTGGTCGACAAAAAGAGGTACGATAGTGATGAGACAACCTAGTGCACCTGTGTTCAGTTGCGTCGTGGTCTCTGGAAAACTACCCAGCTCCTTCACGCTTTTTATGAGAAAATCTTCACTGAGCTGAGGGTTTCCATGAAAGCTATAATTTGATATACGTACGCATGCATGCTGCGAAACTTCATCTAAATGAGTTTTCTTTGAAGTTGCCTTGCTGCTTCTATTTGCTATTTCTTCTATTGAATTCGCTTGCCCAAGCAATTGAGTTAGTGGATTCGCAGCCACTTTAATCGTCTTTCGAGTGCGACTCTCGTAGGCAGGATTCTTTCATTTTAGTAGAAAGCAGCTCCATCTATGTATTGTTTGTTTTCTATGTTTTCATGATTCCATGTTGTTTCTACTCTGTCGTTGTAATGTTTCTGTTATTGTTTATTCTTTTTTCTATCGCTATGAGAAACCTTTGTAATCAAGTTATCATTATTTTCTCAATGTTTGAAATGTTCTTTTCCAGCGTATGCTAAATGGTTGGAGGGGTACGATTGCTAGCATGCGGCCGGTTGGCCGTAAGGGCCGTTTTTTCTGCCTCAGCCCTTGACATCGGTGAGTCATTTCAGTCAAATGATTCTTACAGCTGATTGATAGTTCTAGCCACCATTTCTTCGGATATTTTGACGGGATTGAGTTTGTGGGTTTTGACTACCTCCAATGCCCGTTTTGATTAGTTGTATACTTTAGATGTGGTGCATACTCATCGTAAAACTTCATTCTGGGTTTAGAGATCTGGTTTGAAATGTTAACGAAAGAGTCAAACCCTCAGTGGTTAATCATTCGTCTGCGGCGAAGTGAACCGTCATAAAGGAAAAGATGACGTTGTTCCCATTGAATTGTTATTGACATTGATGCACCTCCGTTTCCCATATAACTACGATAACCACTAGACTCTGGTAGCGTTGGGCTTTCTCAAAGGATAAGAAGTCGACTCGTACTTATTTGTTTTTGCTTTTTTTTTTNTTTTTTTTCTTGAATACATCATTTTCACCTAACTGAAAATTTGAAGCGTTTTTTTTTTCAGGGTCTACAATATCCACAACATGTTCGGAACCACCTCTTCCACCAAAGCGAAACTTATCAACGGCGCCTGCAAGGGGTGAAAGTACTGCTCCTGCTTCGCCTCCATCACCTGTAGTGGCTAGCTGTGCTGGGTTTCCAAAGGCAAGTTTCCAGCCCTTGAACAAGCCCTTACTTACTCGAATTCCTAATGAATATTGTTCGCGAATCGCTTTAGGAGATAACTTTTTTTTGGAAGCCAGTAGTTCTAACATTTCTGTCTTGTTCTCTGTTTTAATCTTGATTATGCATTGCGAAACTTCTTCGTTATACGCCTACCCGGTCTTTCTTTCTTTTCTTTTTTGTATCTATCAAATCATTTTTTCTTCACATTTTTTATCGAATCTTTTTTACCACTGGCCTTTGTCATACTTTTCTCCTCGTAAAAAATTATTACAACGCTTTTTTTTTGAAACCACGTGTCCTTACGACGCTCGAAATTCCCCATCTATCAAAATATTTTTCTAATGTTTGTCGATTGGTGACGTAATAGAGCGAGAGAAGGCTTCTGCTGCTTTTTATTTTCAAATGTGCATTAAATTAACTTATGAATGTTAATGTGGCATAAGCAAAACAATAACTTGAGGTATTTTAAGGACATGCAGAATGGTCCTTCCAAAGTGCTCGACTCGGGAGTTTATGGCGATGATGCGTGTTTCATATCCCGATTTAAGAACACCTTTGTCGTCGGTAAGTTACAGTTTTCACTTCACTCCGTAGTGTCATAGCTCACTGCAGCCTTGATATTTTGCTTTTCGATCCTGCAACGTTTCTGATTCTCGTCTCTCGTTTCATGACAATAATTGGTTCTTTAAATTTCTTCTCTCAATCGCATGAGTTAGCAATTTTGGAGCAATACTTCCCCGTATTCATAGTAGTTGCGCTGTTTTCGGTTCTCCGTAAGCCATTTCGGAAAAGGCTGCGGCATTAGGAGTAAACGCGCTGTTCTTTGTATATTCACCTTTTCTCTTGATGTTTTGTATTAACCTCTACGGAAGAACGGACTGCTATGCCTTTTATTTTCTGAATGTGGGAGGTTCTTACGAATACTGTATGATTCTGGCGAAATGACTATTACTCTCATGATCCAGCTGTAACAGGGGTGGTTACAGTGAAGCCAGTTTTAAAGTGGAAGAATTTATCCATACAGGGTACAGGTGAATGTAGCCGTGGCAGTTTTGGAGTAGAGATAAGGTTTTGTCCATTTTCATTCTTTTGATTAGCTCATTGCTGGGAAAATTTCAATGTTGTAAGTTATAGAAAGATTTAGAGTACAAGAAATTCTTGCCGTCATTTCTCTTTCTTCTAAGTTCAATCCTTTTATTCCAGGAGTTGCTGACGGTGTCGGTGGATGGCGAAAGTATGGAATAGATCCTTCAGAATTCAGCCGGAAATTGATGCGTGAATGCGAAAAACGCGTTTCGACCGGTGATTTTGATCCGAAAAGTCCAGAGGCGTTGCTTGAAAAGGCTTTCAAGGCTACAGCAGAAGCACCGCGTCCAGTTGGTATGCGCCTTTTTTGGTTTTCTTTCTTGACATGTTTTAAAAGAACTCATGAACGAAAATTGTGGTGGTGCAACTTTAATTTTGACTTATCATTTTGACTCTTACATTTCAATGCGCCCGCAATGACGCCGTTTCTCAGGTTATCTAATGTTACGTCTTTATCTTTGATAGACGTTGTTGTTTAGGTTCCTCAACGGCGTGCGTTCTGGTAGTACACCAAGAGATGTTGTACTCGGCAAATCTCGGCGACTCTGGTTTTATGGTGGTGCGAAATGGGCGAGTTATTACTAAAAGCGAGGAACAAGTGCACTATTTCAATGCACCATTTCAACTAACCCTTCCACCTGAGGGTACGTGCGAATTTTTTCTCTCTACTCTTCAAGCCATTTTGAAAGCCACTTGATTTCGATTTTTTGCTTTTATGTACAGATCTCCAATCAACAGAAGCTTTCAAGCCAGCATATATTTTTAAAATAATTTCTTGGTGAAGCAAAAATCAGGATGGTGAATCTGAATTAAATGAAATATTAATGAATATAATTTCCCGTTGTAAATCTCCATTCTCGTAACATCTGAACTTTGCCTACAACAAATTCAATTGAGTTGTAATATGTGATGTAAAGAGCCCGATTTCGATGTTTTGCTGTTATTTCTGATGAGAAGATCAACAAAAACCATTACCTTGCAGGATACCGTGGATTTATCGGAGACACTCCCGATTTGGCAGATAAAAAAGAAATCCGCGTTCAAAAAGGGGACATCGTCATCGTAGCCACTGATGGATTGTGGGATAATCTTACAGAGCAACACGTTCTTGATCAACTTCGACCACTCATAGAAGAGAGAGCTACCGTGCAAGAGGTGAGTCGTTATCTTCTATCCCCTTGAAATAGATAGTTACTGTTTACTGTGTGATGTGGGGACATCCCGCATCAAACAGTGACCTCTTTATGTACTCCTTTACAGCTATTTTAGTTAATTTTTCTAGTTATTGCTGTTGTTTTGGGTAGTTTCTGACTCATTCAAAACTTCAGTATGGAAATGCGCATTTCAGGTTTGTAATGCTCTTGCTCTAACGGCTCGTAGGTTATCGTTCGATGCAACACACAACAGTCCGTTCGCAGTGAAGGCACGCGAACATGGTCTTTCAGCTGCAGGTGGAAAACCTGACGACATCACTCTTGTGTTGTTGTTAATCGTTTAGTATGAGTGCCATATTTGTTGGTCGATGATCAAGTGATCGTTAGTTGGTAGCTCTGAAGCCATTGTTCTTCTCGTATTCAAGCTGCTCGAACTGAACTATGCTCTTCATATTCAGTGCCCATCGTAAACTACTGGTCACACCGGGTTTTTGTGAAGTCTTTGACAAAGCCGCCTGTACGTAAGCTTGAATTTGTCTATAACGTCGTTGGGCGCTGAAGAAAAGTCTATCGCTCGAATCTCGAACCCAACTATCCTTGTGTTACACAGCATGTGTGGTACACATTTCAGGGTCATGCTTGAGTTATCGTTAGTGTGACGGAAACGTCTTCTCGTTTAGATACACGCTATATATGGCGTTATTGTTATTGTTAGGAAGGTGTTGCACAGTTGTTCGTTTGAATGTGATATGATAATCGTTTTGTTTAGCGACAAAATATCATGCACTAAGCGTCATCTAACGCGACGAAAGCTCAAATCTTATATAATAGAGTTATAGGAATCTTTTTTTGTGTATGTTGATTCAAACTGCGTGTTTTGTTGTAGCGTAATCAAAATTGAGATTGTATTATGTATAATATTTGTTTACTTAGCAATTGTAGTTCCGTCCAACGTCTAATGAATGTTAATTTCGTATTTCCGGTTTTGGAGATTGTGCTCTCATTCTTCTTCCATACTATGCGAGTTGTAGCGTAATCGTATCTTGTAATGGCCGAATTCTCCTAAATAAACGGAAATGCTTTTTTTACCGTATAACCATTCTATTCGGAACCAATCCAGAGCTTGATATTTCCGTCCTTTGTTATCGTCAAACAATTAGTGTATCTACTATTAGGTTGTAAGATTGAAGTAAACGATGAAATCTGCAAATGGTCGTAAGATTTTATGCCAATATACCGTTTCTTCAGCACATTCACCTCTATTTCGAATTGCGAAAGCAACTGTGTTGATTAACCTAGTAAGTTTACAGTTATACGGTAATGAGATAATTGGATCATCTTACCTCCCACTTAGTTTTTCAGTTGTTTTCATGGTATACTATCAAAATTCCACTGAAGGAGAGGTTTGTAAAATTGAACGAGCTGCTTCCAGGTCATTTGCCTCTGATGAAGATGCTCTTATAGGAGCTGTAAACGTAGAGTTTTGTAGTCGCTGAAATCTCACTGCTATCGCAAAAACGAATCCCGTTATATCACAGAAGATGAGCTGGGAACTCCTAGGTGGGTGTGTTGGAGCCGTATTTATTGAACCTAATTTTTCGGTGGGAACACTGATTATTACATAGGCATATAACAAAGATTGAAGTACTCCCCCGTTGCCAAAGAGTAATAGTTCCAGTAGGGGCTATTTTCTGTCTTACTCAACTAAACGTGCTCCCACATATCAGTTCCTATTCGTATTTTCCTGATATCAAAGCTACCTATTTGATTATGCTCTGGTTTCCCTACCCACCCAATTATGTGTGAGTGATGATACCAAACAGTACACATTGAACAAATCCCAACTAAGCGGAACATCTTTGGTCATTTTGTTAAAGAAATAGGTGAAGCGAGCCTTTGGAAAAGGCTGAAATGCAGAAAAGTCACTGACTCTGACCGGTACAACTCAACATCTCCCTATCCGCATAGATAGAAGGAAAGTTGCTGACCCTGATAGGTGCCCATACTTCTTTGTGGGGTCAGGATCGTCGGTGTTTCAGCGAGGTGCCCCCTGGTTATACAATGTACTATCCAAAACGGTGTACACAATGATAAAGATGGCCTCAGTTCGATCTTTTTTATCAACTGCACAGCAAAGTGCAATATGCTAACTAACAATATAAGACGTTACACACAAGCCATAGTTTATTGTTAGGATTGTAAAGTCGAGTACTGTCTGATGAAGGTTAGATATCTAAACAATTTCTTCGATCATTTCTGAACTTCGATGTCGAGGTTTACACTTTTGTTCGAATCCGAAAGGGTACACTCTGAAATGAACATCTGGGAAAGATGAAATTAAACACAAAATACAGTTCTTTTCTCGTTTACCTATGCTTTTCTTTTGTGGGTTCCGTGAACAACAGATATAATGGGGGCAGAAGTTAGTAGGTTTACCTCATAAATCACAATATTGTGAAATCTCTTTCCCAATCAACCCTCTTATTTACCTGTTTACCCATGCTATCACTCTATGCTATCACTATAACGATTGTTCAAAATACGGTCCTTGGAAAGACACAAATGCGCCTGAGAGGCTGAGAGATTGAAGGTCGATTTTCATGCTCATGAATTTACAACAGTTCGTTAGAGATGTCGTAAAGCTAAATGCCATGACAGCTGCTACGATTTCAAGCTATTAGTGATCAGCAAGTCACGGAGTCAAGCATGTGATGCGGTTTGTGCGACGTTGACACTGATCCATGCTATCAATATCTTAGCTAGGGATCCACGTGTTCACATGCTGGAACTGCTTTTATGCTAAGCTCTGGGCAAGTCCTGAAGAAAGTATGAAGACTGAAGTCTTGTAACACATCAGTCTTGCTTGTCTCCAGCGTTCGACTTCCATTTAGATTCGTAGTGGTGAATTGAATGCGTATTTGGCCTATACTAATGACTTGTGGTGGCCTGTCACTGCTTTTATCATCCCAGGCGAGTTGGTACCAACTAACCGACACCGGAGGGATGGAAGGCTTGGCTGACCTAGGCGGATATCGATCCGAGATTCGAACCCGTGACCGTGCGTGTGTGATAGTGAACCACTTGCCGCTACACCACTTCCACCCCAGAGTAAGGCCACCACTTGTAATTTCATTGAGGGTCATATGGACAGGAATGTGCCAATGCGCGGTCGTTGAGCACACAACAATGTATTACTCAGCCCTGTCATTATGTTGTATTCACGTGAAATGCACTGCATAAACTAGAGAAAAAAGCTTCCTTCACTTGCTCATTGGCAATTGTGAAGCTCATTTCCATGCTGATACCACGAGTTCTAGCTATGCGTAAACTCTGTAGTGGATCGGAGATTTCTGCTCAAGATCCTATGGGTATGAGTAGATTATAAGTAAAAGACGAGTGCTTCTATGCCCTATAAGGAGGCAATCTGTGCCGCTTGATGAAGCTGGGTTCATCTTTGGATGTCTGAAAAGTCTCTAGTGCGAGCCTTCCTCCCGGTTTGCTGTTCTGAACCTCGAAGTCCTTGATGAAGCTTTGTGGCCCTAATCAGTGGTGCCCCCTGGACGTGCCAATATATAAGGGCTTCCTTATGGAATAACGGAGGCGTTTGAATGCTTATATGCTCTATACTATGACTTGTGGTGGCCAGCCGAAGGTCAAGTCATGGCTTTTATCCCCCAGATAATTATGCTGTCAACAAGCTGGCCCCAGGGTGTCGAAGGCTCGGTTGGTCGAGCGAGTGGCGAACCGGACTTGGACTTGTAGTATTATACCGCTCCGTTTAGCACTACACCACCTCTACCTGAATTCTCGGAGTATGCCTTATCCAGGTACGTAGAAGGTGATGCTCACAGTGGAGGAGTGCACCGCTAAATTCGGCAGAGTTTAAAGAGAACTATATCTTATGAGTCACTCGCTCTTACCGCACACCTTCGATGGCCTCGCGATAGTTCATCTCCCAGTCATATGGATCGCTCATCTTCCGATCTCCAACCATTTCCTGAACATTACCCCAAAGAATATTTCTGATTCAGATCTAAGACAAAAAATGGGTTTACATACTGTAAGCAAAGCTTGTAGTGCGGCATAATTTGGTTCCTCTCCAGTGTTCAAGCTGAATACCGCACGAGCAAATTCTTGATATGAATCGCATGTCAAGGAGAGGAAAGAGGTTTGAGGATCACCTTGCTGGAATGACCACATTAGTTCACGAATGGAATTAGCAAAAAGTGTTCACTGAAATGTAACGGGACGCCGCTTACCAGTTCTAGTTTGGCTTGCTTAACATCTTCACCTTTCACTATGTACTTCCATGGCAAATCGCCAACAAGAAGTTCTAGACCTGGAAAAGATCGGCAGGTGTTGGGCAGGAGATTCCGTTGAAGACATTCAAACGACCGTTTTCCAAAAATGCACGTACAGAACTTGTAGATTTCAAAGGTCATTTTAGTCCCCTTTTCTCTTTCCCCACTTTCCCATACACCTAACTTGGAGCTGTTGGCGATACATCGTGGGCGTACCTAAGTAAATGAAACGTGGCGTCCAAGATAGGCGTACCTGAGTAAACGAGGGATACGAGATCATCTGCAGGACACTGATCAATGCGGTCATGCACCCGGATGGACACGTAACGCACTGTTCCTCTAAAATCATGAGAACCAATTCGTGGTTAGAAGCTCCTATGATAATGAGCTTTCAAGACAATACTTCAGATTTTTTAACCTTTGAAGAGCTGAATCTCTCGATATTAAGAGAAATCACAGCTCTATGCCCCTACNGTTTCAGTTATTCACGAACTTGATCGTTCTCTATGAATACCTTCAGTTTCCTGAGGAACGCATACTTCAGTGCTACTGCTACTTCATAGTTGAATGCATAGAAAAATGAACTATTGAGTCTTTGAGAGACTTTTCTGCCTGCCAGTGGAAAAACCCGCTGCAAGCTCATTCGATAGGCCATCAAGCCATTACACAGCTCGTTTCAGCTTCTTTCAGACGACGTTCAACGTATATGACATAGGGCCATCTTGGCATTGCAGTTAACGAGGAAGCTCATCCAAAACCAAGATGAGCTTTTCAGTATGGCCTCTTGCGTATTGTGGGGTTTGCGTCCATGTGCAGGCAGTAGCGAAATGCCGATTTCTTGAGCTTCAGCCTGACAGTCGTCCAAATGAAGAAAATGGTAAGGATTCCAATGTTAGTTTATTTGAGCGAAACACTGACGGTCAAAGCGCTGGCACGGTTATTCCGTGCTACCTGCCCCATTTTATTGGTCTTTTTGCAGCGAGTACGGGACATGTTTTATCTTGCTTTCATTTTTCTCCTAAGATTATCCTGGAGTAAGTCCATAGGCGGATCCTCTTTATTGAAGGGGATTAGACGATATTTCAGGAAAAACCCATTATTTTCGTAATATATACCAAGTGCCACGGTCGCTCAAAATCTATTCTTATCACGAGTACAAAAAATGGAAGATTGTACAGAATTTGCTCACCTAAATCCTGCTCTTGGTCTCAAAGGACGAGTAGTGCCATCTAAGTTCTTAAATCGCCGTACAAGACCAAAGTCAACTATTACGAGTATGTGACGGCTCTGGAATTAATCTATTCATGTGGGGCAGATTGAAGAGTATTAACGATTACTCGGCTTTTCAAAATAGAAAGACCGAGGAAATGTTGTTTCTAAAGAAAATAAGTGGGAAGTACCTGAGGAGTGATTCCGAAACACATGTTAGCAGGTTTTACATCTCTGTGAATATATCCACCCAAATGAATATCTCGTAGAGCAGCTATTGCCTTAAAAGTAACTATTTCATCAAGTAAGTGTGAAAATGCGGACCATGAATAGCTGTTTAGTGAGGTGCTCGTCGATCACACAGCTTTAATGCCAGGCTTGGTTTATACTTAGCGGATTGGCGTCATGGTTCCTGGGCGACACATGCGCGCACATTTATTGCGGCTCGCTATCGGTATTGCACTCTTAATTGAGTATCATTGCTGGCGCTATCATCTCAGCACGTAGCTAAGGCATCCCTCCATAATTGCTACTACCAAAGTCGTCGCTAAGTGGCATGATTGCTGATTGCAAGACCATAGAACGGTAAGGCAGTCCATTCCAGTTGTTATACTTGCAAGATTTGCCATTCAATGATATACGGCTTTATGAAGGTTCACTATGAAAACCCGATCTTTAGGGTTTTCAGGGGATTAGGGTATTAGGGTAGGTACTTTCAAGGTTTTTTAGGGATTAGGGGTTTTATGTTTTTAGGGTTAGGGAATTTTAGGGTTTTAGGTGTTTAGGGAACTGACTGCAATGGAGATAGAATTTCGTCACCAACGTATTTCAATTCCTGACATAACTTCATCGGGTCAGGAGAGGGGGTTTGCCTGATTCAGGTGACTTTGTCTTATCGACGCTAGGGACCGAGAGAAGACCTGTTGACGGAGTATGACACGAACGGGGTTCTTGGGCCGTGTTTTCGTTTTCCTTGGCTGGGCTCTAACTTCGTCCATTACGAACGTTGTACTTGTACCTTTTTCTGTCAGTATAATTGAAGTGAAACACAGACCTGTTGCATGATTCGCCCAACAGTGCTTCTACCTAGCCTTTTTACTGGACTTGCCTTTTTCAAATCTCCAATATTGATACTGAGTAATTGCATAACTGAAAATAACGCCAATTCAACCGTATTACCCACTTCAATTTGCCCTTCAACGGAATTGATCATCCTCGGAATCATCGATTAATCGCTACATTTGCATTTATTGCTGGTAGATTTGGCTATATTCCTTATAGAAATAAGGGAGGAATCACTTCGATCCATAAGCTCACCGATGAAATTAATTCTATTATCGTGACCGGAAGCAATCATCTTTGGTATGTGTGGTCTGCCTTGTAGTCGAAGAAGAACCTCGAATGTCCATTTAGAGCGTGACTTTCCCATTTTACAACTCTCTCAACTCCCATAGGGTACCTTCTGCTCCAGAATCATTCTTTTAACTGTGCGACCCTTCCTCTTTTTCGGTTCCACCTTTATAGCCACTTCATCTGCAGTTCTGATGTCCACAGCATAGTAAATCTCACCGTATCCTCCATGGCCAATCAAGCCCTTGAACATAAAAACTATCCTTCTTGAACCATAGTATCTCATAAAATGAATCAGCACTTTTAGTCAATCTGCGTTTTTGTGTCGGTTTACGTCTTCGCATTAGTGGCAAGATAGACGCTTGTATGGGGCTACTGCGCTTCTGTGGTACTTCTCCAAACATCATTCGTCTACCGTTCGGTAGCCGAGTCAGTAGGGAGACAGGCAGTAGGAAAGGTTCTATGTAATCGATCCGCCGCACGCGGCTGTCGCGGACCACTTACCTCGTTATAACAGTTCTAGTGTTCTTCATACAGCTCAATAGCTATTACTATTACTTATGACATGATTTTAGTGTTAGTTCTTTTGTTCCTGATATATTTACACGCTGCTGCGTCCTGCTACAGTCCTTCGCGCCGTGTCGCGTCTCTCTCGCCGCGACGCGACACTTTCGTTTCACCACATCGATAGTATTTCTTCGCTCAGTCATTTTAGCAAGCTAAGATATCAAACTTGAAGTGCTTAATCTCCCCAACATCACTTTGAAAGATTTCGTCAGAGGGCCAATGGGCGGGACTCGATTGCGGGACAATGGTTCAACCAGTGTACTATGCCTGATGCTTACACCTAGGCAGGTCTGTTGCAGTTGCCCCCAATTGATTTGTGTTACTAACTTTGCAACTATTTTCCATGCCTAATTTGCGCTCATTTCTTACCCAAAGGTCTCTACTAGTGTATCTCCAAAGGCAGCGTTCCAAAATGGGCTATGCAGTACACATCCAAATGTATAGGAAATGTATGGGATATTGTATTCATCGAAACATTCTTGACAACTTGCCTTAACAAGCCATCGATCTCTCATCACTTCTTCCAGAGGAATCAGTGTTTGTCCGCTGACTGTTCTTTTGATTTTCGGAAACAACTTCGAACATATTGCCAACTTCCTTGGTTCACTACTAGAAATGCCACTCATATAGCTATTTTATGTCTTCGAAGATTCTTGTGGGGTTTGGGAATATCTAGTTTAGGTATAACTAAGTAGTTTGATTGATCAAACGCCCTGTCGCGCTGGGGCACTTATATTAGGTTGATGCATAATTACTGCGGATTTGTTCGCGGCTTTTTTTCTCTCGATAGAAATTGAATATTGAATTCGGGTTTTTTCTAGAAATGTTCTGCTTGTTGTCCTCTACAAAAATATATTTAGAAAACCATCCGCATATTCGCTAAATTAGGCTCTACTGCTTCGAGAACGGTTGGAAGGTGGCAGAGTCATTCCGCGATCTCAGTAACTTTTCGGCGATGGAACAACCAGCCAAAGCCAACCAAAAAATGGGATCTGCTCCTGAATCTGCCATTTCACCAGCAGCAACTTCTATGGATTATCTCACCGACCATCCGCTGAAAAAATGGCTAGGGAGTAGAAGTTACGTCGATTTGGATTACTTGATGACCGATGTCAAGGCATGGGTCGCCCCCAAGGATCAAAACTTCTTCGCTTCTGGAATCCAACTATCTAGCCAATGGGAAGCAGTGCTTGACATAGATGGTGGATAAGATCCGGAGTAATTATTTGAACATGTTTTTGCTCAGTATTTTTATCGTTTCGTTAAAAAAATTGTTGAAAAGTCCGCAATGATTAGGCGTCAGCCTAATATTAGAACAGCATTTTGGATTGCCATCACGGAAAACTCTCGAAAAAAACATCAAAGTAGATAGGCCGTTCAGTTTAGCGAACAATTGGAAGAATCTTGGCATAGAGCAAAAGGATGGTTCACAGAACAGTCGGACACAAAAGAAGCAGATTGTGTTGATACAGTATGACCCTTCTGAGACCACATTTGCACCACATTTGTTCAGTAAGTCAAGTGGGAACTGGCCGCACAATGTTTAAGTGGTAAGAGCTTTTGAAGATTTAGATCCCGATAAAAATGGTTTCTGAGACTTCCTCATCGGATGGGGTCGGAGCCCTTACTGATACTATATGTGCCGATAGCAGGTCGAGAAACGTCCTGGGTAGAGCACAATAAGGAGCCAGGCACTGTATCGCGTGAATGCCACACCCACAGCAGACGAGTCTCAACGGCGTTGTAGAGGCTGTGCAGTCCACAAAGGAGCGCATATACTTAGTTCAAACAACTTGCCATGATTCATGGCGAGAGTAGAACCTAGTTTTGAACTATATTAGATCGATATAGTCAGCTCTTTGCGCAACTGCAACAGTTGAAATCTCGTCCGAATACCCCCTCCATGCTATTTCCACCATTGTAATCTTGTACAACACCTATTTTTACTCTTTTGAGAGAACTGGCTTTTCGCCGAATCTGTGAATTTTGGCGCTTTCTTTGTCACCGCTGTACTACCTTCAACCAGCACATTAACTTTCCGACTTAAAGGCACCATTCACGACTAAAAATTATTGAGATCTTACCTTATTAATACTCAGCGGCCCCCATGGGTTGTTGAAGGGACCCTCTCACTCCCCCAATCTCGACGTCCAGGGCGTAGTGGCAGCTCCGTTGTTCACGTAATTCGCATCTCCGCCCCTCGACTGATGTCACGTCAGACGAGTGTCGAGACGACACAGCGTCATGTAATCGCGTCAGGACCCACCCTGAACTGCAATTTGGCAAATTGCCAGAGACGCAATGTGTTGTCAGCTATAGCAGACAACACACTGCGTCTCTGGTCTGGTAACTTGCCAATTTGGCCGAACACCCCCTAACCACCGTGATTTCAATGTGAAACTCGTCCAACCCCCTTTCCAGCTCTTTTTTTGACCCTTTGTAATTCTTTTTGTTTGTCTTTTTCTGCGGTTTTTTCGCTGTTATCGCTTTATTCTAGGGTAGTTCTATCAATTTCCGTCAAAAAAGGGTAAACTACATTTTTTTGCTAGCGGTGCCTTTAAGAAGGGTATCCAAATTTATCGTGATTTGTGCCTTTGAGTTGAGCTTCATCCATTGCGGCCCACTAGATGGTGCCTACTAATTGAAACTGTAGCTAAGTAATCAGACCCCCAGCCCCCCCCCCCCCTCTCCCAGGTGTCCGAAGACGATTTGCCCAAACAACGGCCGAATAGATGAATGTGATTAAAACCAATGTGGCACATCAATAGCAAAGTTAGTCTTCATGCTCAAGTTCTATCTAGGAGGTTGCCGTGTACACTAGAGGCTCCTCACTTCCATGGTACTTGTGGCCTTGCTCCGGCAGTCTTTGTCTTTTCATCTTTAGTGTCTTCTCCCAGTTCAGCACTTTGTATATTTATTCCAGTTTTCTGAAATTAGTTTTACTTGCTTTCGAAAGTTTTATCTAAAATGCTTGATTCTGAAAAGCGAATGTTCTTGGACAAACAATACAAATTTAATCCGCTACGTCACGGGAGGGTTTTTTATTTGAAAAAACGTTGCGAATGAGCGACACGAATGTTTGGGATCCTGTTGTACTTTTTTCCTTCGCACCTTTGCTGGGTTTCATACTTTCGGTATTAGGTCAAAGACAAAGTTCCTGGGGACTGCATTAGTGTAGAAGAGAGACTTCCCAGCCTAGCGGTAAGAACTTAGTACTTTGTCTGAAGTTATTTATCTCTCGCAAGGCTCGGCTGGAAGCATAGATATGTTGCTATACTGTTTTCTCAGTTGTAAAGCCATAGTGACATAGGGCAGTAAAGAGCACAGAGAGGAAAGTTGAGTAGAAAAGCGACCGCACACCACCCATCGCCTTTCAGTCATCTCCTTGCTGCTTGCATGTATAATTCAGAGCCTTCGACTAGCTCGCAACATGAACGAAAGTTCAGGTGGTATGATGCTTGCAGTCATCCGATACTCGAACTTCGGCCCAGGTAAAACTGCGCAATTTAGAATCCGGTGGCGGTTGAAAAATAGAGCATGCGCCATACACGAAAAGAATTGACGATCACATAGGCTGATGATCGTGGAGTTTTATGGTTATCGCTGGCAAATGCGGCTATCGATACATTCTTCGAACACCGAATCGTGTTAACATCAGAATGGATATGAAGGGACAGGCCAACTCGATCATGAAAAATGGTCAACCTGAGCGCTGGACTACATTAGTATTAAACAGTATGAAAGGCAAAGCAGCTGGTTTGCCAACAAGATACGTGGTGGTCCTTATCCTCACCTGTTAGGCTTTGCCATTCTAGGCCTCTCAGGTTTCCGTAGGTATGGCGGCCGATGTGTAAACACTTTGATCTTCAGAAAACAGCTGAAGTAGAGAGGGGGAGAATGAGACGTACGCGCACAATGTGCAACAGAACTTTCGTCATTGAAGCCTTTTCATGCTCTCGTGTGCTACACATCTTGTTAACTCCCATGAGATCCTTTCTCCTCGCTTCACCAATCCCTCGCTTCGATATGCGCATTTCAATTTCGTCGGTATGAACGACTTTTATTAGCCCAACTCAGTAGGGAATGAGAACAAGTTTTCTTCTCCCTTGCGTTGATCAGGCGCCGTCGTAGGGTCAGCTTATATGAGAACAAGTATCGTAGTCAATTGGAGGCACTTGGGGAAAACCCTCGTGTAACGTCAGCTGAAAGAAATCTTTGTGGTGATACTACCAGCAGCACAGGGAGAAGCTTCTTGGAAAATCCTTATAAGAATCATTCTGACTGAGTGCTGTAGGACCCTGAAGTACGGGTTATTCACATGAGTGAGAAATGAGGGTGCATGAGGAGTTCTAAAGGCGCTGCGCTGGGTTGAGCTTGATTAGCTATCTAATTCTCCCCTGCTGCGTTTATCCTACTATATATAACGCGCTAAGTGTGTCTGTTGGTTTGTCTGTCTGTCTGTGTGTGTGTGTGTGTGTTTGACCGGAAATTCATAACTCGGGTTCCAGTGGACCTAGAGAGTTCAAATTTGGTAGGAATACAGGGGGCAGGACAGGAACACTATCGGTGGGTGGCGGGGCCGAACTCCGCCCACAGGGGTCGTGGTTTGTGTGAAATAAATCCTACTATATATAACGCGCTAAGTGTGTCTGTTGGTTTGTCTGTCTGTCTGTGTGTGT